CAGGCGGTCATTTTTTTGACTAGCAAAGAAAGTTCGTAAGAAAGTTCGTTGGTTATGGAGGCTGTCATCCTGCTGTATACATATCCAGCTGTATACATATCCCTCTTATGTGTAAGTCACCCTGTGCCTGTTAGGGGTGCAGGGTGATATGTCATAATATTGTGTAGACATGTGTAGGAGATCGGTGGGGAGGGGGGGTTGTTCATTGTTTAACGCCATGTGGTTGTATCCCATTGTTTTATTGTGTGTCTTGCTTGGGAGCAAACTATTATGGAATGTATGTGTTTGTGTATTGGCTTGGTGGGGGTGTTTCCGGCAGCCCTTCCCCCTGATGGGACTGTCTGCTGATGTGTCTCTTGTTACTGGGTGTGTATTACCCCGCCCTGTGTATATATTTTGTATCTGTGTTAAAATAAAGGAGTCTGTTTCCTGATTTATTTCAAGACTGGTCTCGTCTAGGCTCGTATGGCCAGCAGTGGTGTCTGTGGATTTGTGTTCGGACAGGGAAGCGGGAGTCTAACGGAAATACCCTAGTGCAGTCGGGATCCGATTTCCGTTACAACAACTTCTTAGCAGCTTTGTACAAAATGTGGTCCAAAAAATACATTAGTAACTGTCTCTTTAAGGAGCACTGGGTCCCCTCTGGTGTACTTCCTCAGACCTCAGATGAATCCTTCCTCTTTCGCCCGGCTGTCTTGAGGGTATCTCTAGGCAAGGGATTCCAAGATCTGCAAATAAGTAGTCTCGGCTGAGAGCTAGTTTGGTATTGCACCTGACTGCCCTCTCCCTTCTCTGTAGAAGTACTCACACTGTCCTGTCCTGCTAGCTTGATGGATTGCAGCTGCTTTCAGGCCTTACACTGGGCTAGCTCCTTCCATGCTGACAGGTTGTCCTCTCTAGGAGATTTGTGGCACAGTGGAAAGCCTTCCATCCAGCACCAGGCTGTAGGTAGGTCCCCTCCCAGGCTCCACACTCCAGCACCTTCGTTTTGTTCATCTTCCACCCAACTCCAACAACTCCTGCTGCACAGGCTCTGTCACATTTAAGGGTTGGCTGGCCTCCTGTCTGGCAAGTGGCTAAGTTCCCTAAAGTAAGCAAATCTAGGCTTCCTCCCCTCCTCCACCCCTCTTCCAGAAAGATCCAGCAGTTTCTGGAATGGGGAGGGGACTCCAGAAGCCCTGACCTGTAGAGCCTCCCAGCCTATTCTGAGGTGACCTCTCTACCCCCACTACCAGGCTGACTCATCCCAGGCTTCTAACAAGCCTCTGCCTCAAAAAAAAACGAATCCTTTCAAGTTAAACCTAGAGGGTGCTATATTACCATGAAGGGTGCTTTACCAAAAAGATGTCCTGACATTTTTTTCTTTAGCAATGCAAATTTAATCATAGCCTAAATGGAAATATTCAATGACAGCTCTTGGTATAAAAATAATTCTCTTTCAGCAATAACTTTTCAGAACAATGAGTTTAATCAGCCTGTGGTGGTGTCATCATTTACTCTTCCTCAATGAGCTTGTGGCTGATTCAATTAACTAAAGTTGGCTTCTAGCCTGTCTGAATTCACTGCTGCCCCTCTCTGCCAATCCCTTCACTGCTGCCCTCTCTGCCAATCTGCCAATCCCTTCACTGCTGCCCCTCTCTGCCAATCCCTTCACTGCTGCCCCTCTCTGCCAATCCCTCCACTGCTGCCCCTCTCTGCCAATCCCTCACTGCTGCCCCTCTCTGCCAATCCCTTCACTGCTGCCCCTCTCTGCCAATCTGCCAATCCCTTCACTGCTGCCCCCTCTCTGCCAATCCCTTCACTGCTGCCCCTCTCTGCCAATCTCTTCACTGCTTCCACTAACCCAACTAACCCAACATATAAAATTCAGAATACTAACCACAACATACAAAGCCATCCACAACACTGCCCCTAGCTACACCACCAACAGATATCGTCCAAATCGCCCGCTCCGCTCCTCCCAAGACATCTAGCGCTCTAGCTCCCTCATCACCTCCTCACACGCTCGCCTCCAGGACTTCTACAGAGCCCCTCCCATCCTCTGGAACTCCCTACCCCAGTATGTCCGGCAGCCCCCACCCTGTCTGACTTTTGGAAATCTTTGAAAACACACTTATTCGTGAAAGCCTACCCCACTTCCACCTAAGAACTGTACATGAGTCACCTCCGCCAGATCATCCCCCGCAGCTATCACCTTTTGTATCACCTCCCCCTTCCTTTAGATTGTAAGCTCCACGAGCCGGGCCCTCCTATTCCTTCTGTACTGAAATGTATTGTAATTGTACCGCCCTCCTTATATTGTAAAGCGCTGCGCAAACTGTTGGCGCCATAAATCCTGTATAATAATAATAATACCAGTATATAAGAATCACTACAGACTGTATATACTACATACCCCATAGACACGGCATGAGCAGGACCAGCACCCTGTATATAAGAATCACTACAGACTGTATATATACTACATACCCCATAGACACGGCATGAGCAGGACCAGCACACTGTATATAAGAATCACTACAGACTGTATATACTACATACCCCATAGACACGGCAAGAGCAGGACCAGCACCCTGTATATAAGAATCACTACAGACTGTATATACTACATACCCCATAGACACAGCATGACCAGGACCACACCCTGTATATAAGAATCATACAGACTGTATATACTACATACCCCATAGACACAGCATGACCAGACCAGCACCCTGTATATAAGAATCACTACAGACTGTATATACTACATACCCCATAGACACGGCATGACCAGGACCAGCTACCCTGTATATAAGAATCACTACAGACTGTATATATACTACATACTACCCATAGACACGGCATGAGCAGGACCAGCACCCTGTATATAAGAATCACTACAGACTGTATATACTACATACCCCATAGACACAGCATGAGCAGGACCAGCACCCTGTATATAAGAATCACTACAGACTGTATATACTACATACCCCATAGACACAGCATGAGCAGGACCAGAGCCCTGTATATAAGAATCACTACAGACTGTATATACACATGACCAGGACCAGCACACTGTATATAAGAATCACTACAGACTGTATATATACTACATACCCCCATGAGCAGGACCGGCACTGTATATAAGAATCACTACAGAGGACCCCAGCAGCAGGACCAGCACACTGTATATAAGAATCACTACAGACTGTATATACTACATACCCCATAGACACGGCATGACCAGGACCAGCACACTGTATATAAGAATCACTACAGACTGTATATACTACATACCCCATAGACACAGCATGACCAGGACCAGTGTGAGGGAAATCATGATTAGTAACTGAACTAAGGACAAGCTTCGCTGATTCTGAGCCATATAAAGAGGAACTCACACTTTCATACCAGAAGACTTCCTCTTGTATCTCGGGTTCACATATCTGCAGTGCGATACATCGCATGTGATTCACACAGGAACTGTACTGAATACCGGTAGACATCCCATGTGATTTGTGTGCGGTGCCATCGGAGGCGAATATTATCTATGGCCCTAATCGCACCACACCCTCACCAAAAATGTGCAGGAGCCTTTTTTCGGTCCACACCAGAATCGGATCGCACAGGTATTCACACCTCTGCGATCCGAATCTGCACATCGAACTGCATTTTGCGGACCGATTTCGGGGTGTTGTTAACTTAATGTACACACCCGCAGCGGTTCGCATGAACGGGGTGCGATTCTGATGCGGTGTGGAATTTGCACTGAAAACGCTGCGAATTCCACACCGCATCAGTGTGAACCCCGGCTTAGAGCTAATCTCTCTGGAAAGTCATGTCAAATGAAGCAATTATTGCAAATGTGATAATAATAAAGTGCAGCACTAAGATAATAAATGATAAATAAATAGCAAACAAATATTATCAAATAAATCAATGATGTGATAGTTCGTGGTAAAGTGCTTGATACAGGGATTGATGGTGACTTCAAACTTCAGTGGCGTGCCGAAAGGTATAGTAAAAATACGCACTCACCAGATGTGTATTTTTAAATACGCATGTAAAGTAATATGACCAGAGTTTCCCCTTTCAGGATGGGATGGATGGGGTGTGCCGTTTACGGACTACCCTGGGACACATCACATCCTATCCAGGGACACATCCTGGGAGAATAGTCCATAAAACGGCACACCCCATCCATCCCATTCTGAAAGGGGAACCTCTGGTCATATTACTTTACATGCGTATTTAAAAATACACATCTGGTGAGTGCGTATTTTTACTATACCTTTCGGCATTTAAAAATATGCATCTGGTGAGTCACATCACTGATTTATTTGATAATATGTATTTATTTGCTATTTATTTATCATTTATTATTTAGCGCTGCACTTTATTATTATCAGTTTTATGAGGTTTTTTTACTTGGTTACCTTTATGTGTTTCAGCTGCTAGTCTTAAAACGCTCACTGATTCTATTTTGTTGTAATTATTACAACTGTAACTGGTAGTAAGGAAACTGCCAATTCAATATGGGCTGAGGATGCTTTACTAGGTATATGTACAGTGACAATGGCAGTCTCAGATCCCATTACTTTAAAGTGTTACTAAACCCACAACAGTACAATCAGTCTGTATATGCAGTAACGCATGCTTGTTATACTCACTGTGGGACCTAAGGGGTTAATCCTCCGCATTGTGTAAAAATGCTGTTTGATCCTGTCTTCTCTGATCCTCCCCTTCTTCCAGTACCCCCCTCTTATCTCCTGATAAGACATATCGTGTGGAGACACTCTGCACATGCTCAGTTTGGTGTGTATTGCTAGAAAGGTGTTTGTTTTTCTCTTGGGAGAGTGCATATGATCAGCACAGGGCCAATCAAGAACTGTACAGACAGAGGTCAGGGGTTCTGCATCTTCCTAGAGCAAAATAAAAACTTCTCCTACAAGTGCTTCGGCTGGATACTGACAGAAGTCACAAGACTGCTATATACTGCTGATGAGAAAAGGTATTTAGCAGTTTATATTTATTAAAATAATTGCATTTACATGCTCTGTGTACTATGGGAGACCAGATATAGTGAATGGGGGGTCCGGGGAGAGCAGATATAGTGAATGCAGAGTCCAGGGAGACCGGATATAGTGAATGCAAAGGTCTGCAGAGAGCAGATATAGTGAATGCAGGGTGTCTGGGGAGACCAGATATAGTGAATGCAGGGTCTGGGGAGACTAGATATAGTGAATGCAGGGGTCCGGGGAGACCGGGATATAGTGAATGCAGGGTCCGGGGAGACCGGATATAGTGAATGCAGGGTCCGGGGAGAGCGGAAATAGTGAATGCAGGGTCCCGGGAGAGCGGATATAGTGAATGCAGGGTCCGTATCACGGGAAGGAGAGCGGATATAGTGAATGCAGGGTCCGGGGAGACTGGATATAGTGAATGCAGGGTCCGGGGAGACCGGATATAGTGAAAGCAGGGTCCGGGGGGAGAGCGGATATAGTGAATGCAGGGACTGGGGACAGCGGATATATTGAATGCAGGTCCGGGTAGACCAGATATAGTGAATGCGGGGTCCGGTAAGACCAGATATAGTGAATTCAGGGTCCGGGGGTTTAGTAACACTTTAAGCAATGTCTGTGATACTCCCTGCCACACCAGACAGGAAGGTAAGTGTTTTAAAAAATGGTAGCTTTCTTCAAAGATGAAAATTAAACATTAAAAATATTAAGATTAAACATTGTTTTAATGAAAAAAAAAGAGGTTTACAGAAAAAGTATATTACAAAACAGATAATAAGCAACAGTAAAATAAATGTAGCACTAATCCTGCAGGGGGGGGGGCCGATTGGTAATGCTTGTCCCCAGGGGTTGCCCTGACCTTGCAAGCTTCCCAAACCTCTGAGACTCAGGGATTCAGACATATTTCAACAGTATAGAACAATAACACAAAAGACACAATTCTTTAGTAACACCTCTATATTAGACTTGTTCAAAAGAGTAGACCACAGGAGTAATGGGTTTAGGATATAAACTGTTAAATATCGCGACACTTATATTATTTAAGTGTCTGTCTTAGGCGTTTGAGGTAAAGTGTTCTAGTGCCAGGCTGATTTAAAACAGTGTGACTTTTATTTAATTCACACTTGGCATCAACATAAAATGAATACAAAAGATAAAATAAAATACAGAATAAAATATAAACAAAAGTTGTAGATTATGGAAAAAGAAATAAAGCTTTGGAGAAATGTCTAATCTCTTGCCTGTTCTATGACTAGTGTTTCAGTCTTGGCAAGAAAGACAACAGGTGTATCAAGGCTTTGTAGGCCTTAAGAGAAAACAAAAATGTCAGTGCGTGTCAGCTGTATAATGTAATGGATGTGGGTGGGGGGGGGTTAGTGGTGGTGGGTGTGGGTTGTGTGTGCGTCCCTCTATCTCTAAGGCACATTTTATATATATTTTACCAGACCAACCCACTAAACAGTTATTTCCTAATTCAGTGTGAGCTAAATAAGTAAAAGCCTTTTTTGTACATCTTCTATACTTATCACTCTTAGTGTCCACATTTGTAAACCTTCTATACTTATCACTCTTAGTGTCCATATTTGTAAACCTTCTATACTTATCACTCTTAGTGTCCACATTTGTAAACCTTCTATACTTATCACTCTCAGTGTCCATATTTGTAAACCTTCTATACTTATAAGTCTCAGTGTCCACATTTGTAAACCTTCTATACTTATCACTCCTTAGTGTGACGTTATCTTCAAACCTCTTAGAAGACAGAAATACATGATACTGTTACATGATATACAATGGCTTCACATATCTTTAGAAAGGGACAATTGATCACATAAATGCATATAACCAACAATAATTGATACTAAAATTTATCACACACTATTCCTAACTAATAAATTAATTATATGAAATAATTATCCAACTAACTATATTATAGATTAGACATGATTTTCTTTATAAAAGACATATACTTTCTTTGCTCTACTGCATACCAATATCTTTTTACATGCCAATTTGCTATTCTTAAAAGAAGCTTATGACCTGCTGACCTCTTAGACATGAATATACCATGGTTCATCTTTACCACCTTTTTTCAAAGCTTTCATAAACACGCAAACTTACTCAATGACTTTAGTTGTCATTTTAGAGGACACACTGATATGAAAAGATACAGACGTCTGTTTTATGCTGAATTAATTTCTTACATAAACCCCAGTTAATCTGGGGGAACAGAGACCCAGGGTGTATAGGCTTACCTACATATGCCCAAATTGAGAGGAGGACTGGTAGTGCCAGATTTTAATCAAGTATTACCAAGCAGCACAGTTAGTGCAGCTGATCCACTTTCCTACGCAGCAGCTCTACCCACTTTGAATGTCTCTATAATCTTCTCTTTACCCCACTAAGGAAATCAGCCGTTTAATGTGGTTGCAAGCGAAGGACAGACTGGTGACACTGGCTCCAACTCTCGTTTCTCATTGAGCCTGTGGGACAGATTGAGGACAACCTATAGATTTAAATCTCCCCATTCTCCTTTGGCCCCATTATTGGGGAATCCCAATTTCAACCACTGGTCTCCACCCCCAAAATGTTTCCTGGTGGACTAACAAGGGTCTGCCAAGGATTGCAGACTTCTGTGACCATAGCGGTGTCTTGTTGAGGCCGTACCTGCAGGAAAAAATTCCACCTCCCCAATTTAGAATTTTACCTCTGTAACTCAAATAGTACATTTCTTAACCACCTTAAACAGGACCTCTGACTTGACATCCTCTGCGGCAATGGAACACCTTGCAGGACCTTTCAAAATTCAACAACACAATGGTCATATATCAAAGATTTAGAATATTTTAACTTCAGCCTCCACCAAGTTGTTCTACATGGACAACATCTTTCACTCACTGTTGTTCCACCAGATTTTTTCATTTACAATATTGTTATTGGTTAAAACATCTGCTCATCAATGAAGAGAAAATCGTGTCGATCAGAGGTTCCGCAAAATTTTTTTGTAAGATTTTTTCTTATCGTGTTGTGCGGGGCATTCGTCTCTGACCAAGCCAATGGCCTTCAGGAATGACTCCTGGCAATCCGGGGCAATCCTTCATAATAACTTAATTGGTAAAAACTGAGAAGCCCTGCCCTGCTGAATTTGTGGCAGCTTTTTGTTGACCCTCTAGAGCAAGCGGTTCTCAACCTGTGGGTCACGACCCCTTTGGGGGTCGAACGACCCTTTCACAGGGGTCCCCTAAGACCATCGGGAAAACACATATTTCCGATGCTCTTAGGAACCGAGGGACTCACCGCTCCTCTATCCGGTCTCCGGGTGTGGGCGGGGATGACATGGCAGGCCCCCCTGTCTGTCATCTGGACACACCCCCGGGATGCTCAATCCTCGCCGATGATTGGCCGCCGTGAACTGTAGCTCAGGAGAGGGCACTAAACAGGCGGGGCGGTCCAATCAACCGGTGAGGGAGTAGGGTGGAGCTTGGGAAGGAGGAGGAGCCGAGCATGGCCAGAGAGCGAGAGATCGAGCTGAGAGTGAAGAGGAAGGGAGAGTGGCCGGAGAAGGAAGACACAGCTGACCGCGTTAAGTGTCTGTACCATGGGAGAGGGAGGGAGCGAGCGAGCGAGGCCCAGCTGGAGCAGGGGTCAGCAATGGTAAGTATCATTGGTGTCAGTGGAATAGTTGCCGCCTATCATTGGTGTCACTAATACCAACGATGGGGCACTATTCCTCCCACTGACACCAACGATGGGGCACTATTCCTCCCACTGACACCAATGTTGGGGCACTATTCCTCCCACTGATACCAGTGATGGGACACTTTTTCCTCCCACTGACATCAGTGATGGACACTATTCCTCCCACTGACATCAATGATGGGGCACTATTCCCCCCACTGACACCAATGATGGGGCACTATTCCTCCCACTGACCACCAATGATGGGGCACTATTCCTCCCACTGACACCAATGATGGGGCACTATTCCTCCCACTGACACCAATGATGGGGCACTATTCCTCCACTGACACCAATGATAGGGCACTATTCCTCCCACTGACACCAATGATGATGGGGCACTATTCCTCCCACTGACATCAATGATGGGGCACTATTCCTCCCATTGACATCAATGATGGGACACTATTCCTCCCACTGACATTAATGATGGGACACTATTATTCCTCCCACTGCAAAATTACAGTTATGAAGTAGCAACGAAAATATTTATGGTTGGGGGTCACCACAACATGAGGAACTGTATTAAAGGGTCGCGGCATTAGGAAGGTTGAGTAAACCACTGCTCTAGACGGTGTTTAAAGAAATGGCAAAACCAACCAAGAAGTCTAAGGGGTGTTGATGTGCTTTCTGATATTTCAGCGCTCTCCAAAGACCAGATTTTGTAAATGTATCTATATTTCCAGATGACCATGTTTTACAATCTTACAACTAACATATGTTTTGCACAAAATGAAATCATGATTTGATAGATATCAGACAAGATATGAATCCTATCTATGGCCCCCTTCAGAAGGTGTATTGTGTCCTATCGGCTTTCTGCACCTCATAAGATAGAGTTGGTTGAAAAATACAGTATATATACGATTTGCATTTCCGGGTAGGGAGCTGCCATTGGTGGCTAGGGATGTCAGTCACTGGGTTTCGGCTGGAGATTCCCCGTTGGCACCTAGCGATCATCGGGGAAAGCTGACGGGAGAGACCTGTTTGTCAACAACACAGGTCTCTCTCCTGCCAGCAAGGACATGCTGCTTTGTATCTCTCTGCACAGCAGAGAAATACAAAGCAGCATGCCTCCCAAGTCAGGCACACACAGCACATAATGTAAAACAGCACACAGTTAACCCTTTGATCGCCCCACATGTTAACCCCTTCCTGCCCAGTGCCATTAGTACAGTGTTAGTGCTTTGAATTAGCACTGATCACTGTATTGGTGTCACTGGGGATGTCAGTGGCAGTTTGCTAGTCCCCCTCCCCCCCCCCCCCCCCCCCCAGTGTCAGAATGTCTGCTGCAGTCCCGCAGTCCCCGCAGTCCCACTATATGTCGCTGATCACCACCATCACTAGTATAAAAAGAATGAAAATAAAAATTCCAGCATATATACCGCCATTTGTAAATGATATAACTTTCACGTAAACCAATTAATTTACACGTATTGTGATTTTTAGACAATACATTTTGGCCTGCATTTATGAAATTAGATTTTTTACATTTTTTTCACTGGATATCTTTTATAGCAAAACGTCAAAAAATATTGTTTTTTTTTTGTTGTTGTTTATAGCGCAAAAAAAAATAAAAAATGCACAGGCAATCAAACACCACCGAAAGAAAAGCTCTATTTGTGGAGAAAAAAAATGACATACATTTAATTTGGGAGCAGTGTTGCATGACCGCGCAGTTGTCAATTAAAGAAACGCAGCTCCGTATTGCACAAAATGGCTTGGTCAGGAGGGGGGGGGGGGTAAATCCTCCGGAGGGTAAGTGG